ATGTCAGTCATCTGGGTACGCATGGATGTCATAATCACATAAAAATTATTTATTATAGTGTTTTGGTGAAGTTTACGAAGAGATTGACATAAAAATTGGGAAACGCTATGTATAAAGTTATTGATCTTGTTACACATACAGATCGGGCGTTACTTTTTGAGGCGACTGTACAACTACATGTATGATAACTGGTCTTTACCACTAAGTAAAAATATTAAACATAAAATTTAGATATCGTTCTATCCTTAACTTTAACCTCAAATATGACTTTTACATGTATAATGAAATTTTTTAATGACTTGATACATGTAGTATATGTACATGTACTTTAAAAAAAGTACATGTATTTGTCACATACATGTGTCATTCATTCATGGACAAGTACATATACACTTGGTAGACATGAAGTCTGGAATCAGAAAATAATCGTATATCAATCATTTCTGATTTTAAACGTACGTGTACACGTATGCACATGTAATTTGAATCGAATATTGGGGATTATCAACAAAATGAATACTGCGATGAACGTTTAGTTCACAATACTCATGATGTCAAGAAAATGAGCTCTGCGTTGGCTGTTTCTATTATCACAAACAAATTTATGATAACGTAACAAAACTACAGATATTATGATGATTTTAATAAAGATAAATATTATGAATTATTCGAATGGATTCCTTTTGAAAGATCTATCAGCGTTGAACATCTTGCAAAGGGAGGTTTTGGATTATGAAGAAAATGGATTTAAGCGAAAAGGAAAAGAAGAAATTATGTTGAAATCACTCAATTCAAAGCAAGAGCTTATAAACGAAGTAAAAAAAAATGATTAAGCGAAAGTCGTTTTTTGCTTTCTGATACAACAAAATTTTTCAAAAATAGATCAAGACTTTTAACTGCTGATGATGTTAAATCTTTACATCTATTATTTAAATATCTAAAAATTAAAACAATGAATATTCAATAGCGATAGCAACGGTAATGGATTAAGCAGAAAGATGGTGATCTTCGCAGCTATATTAATTTTAACTACGAAAAATTGACTTGGAATAAAAATTAAGTTATTCATCTGATACATGTAATTTGAAAAACATTCTCGAAGAGAAATTTGGGTTTTCATTATTAATAAGTGATCTTATTTCCCTATAAGAAATCGAACACGTAAACGTGCGTTTACGTATGTTTACGTATGTTTACGTGTTCGATTTCTTCTAGGGTTAGAACTCCTCAAATTGGTGATTTGGACTTAGCATTCCAACAAATATAGAAAATGCTAATCAAAAGTTTATGTAGTAACTTCCTTGTATGAGTTCAGATGCTAAATGGAAAGTAATTTACTGACGCTGCAAATATTTAACCTTATTTGCCGGTATTAAACATTTTATAGATGAGTATGTCGTACAATACCGAATAATGAATGTTCCCGGATAATTCAGAAACAGACCACTAATAGAAAAATTCGATGTCTATCTACGATAAAATAGTTATTTGAGTCTGAAGAAGTTGCATAATTAATATTAAGTATGAATTTTTAGAATTTTCTAAAAAGATAAAGAAAATAAGAGTGTTTTAAACTAAAACAGTGAAATGGAAAGAACTTATAAATTTAAGTTAATTCATATTGAATGCGCCTTATTTTCTAGTTTATGAAAATTTGTAGTTATTATTATTGTGAAATTTAATTCAAAATATAGTGTTTATACCTATTTTAGCCAAATTATTTGGTCCTTTTTGTAAATTCTATTTACTGAAAATATGGTTTTTTGCTTTTTTCAAATACATGTAATCATTTTTTTGAGTAATTCTAAAAGATGAAAAAACAATAAGAGGATCAGGAACTATTTATCGTAAAAATGCAAAAATCATGTTTTTTAGATCTGAAATATTAAATGATCATATAAAACTTGTATAAATTAATCTAGAAAATATAAACATACCATTAAACAAAACAGGGTTTGTTGAATTTAATCATATAAATTTTATTTAATGTTAATAAATTCTCTTAAAATTATCAGTTAAAGCAAATAAACACAAAGTAATCAACTTCATTAAAAATGGAATTACAAAATTGCTAGTGAACTAACTTTTATAAAAAGATATATTCTGAAAACTTAGAATTTGGGATTCTAATAAAAATAATTATAAAATTAGAATTATTGGTTGGGCCATAAATGGGATTTAATTTTTCTAACATTACATACATGAAAGATTTGATTAAAGAGCATCTTACATATTAATATTGCACATATGAAGCAAATTCTTTTGTTATTCTTAAAGGTAAGCTGCCCTAAAATGTAGATCAATACAATGCCACGAATACATTATCGTTATTATTGCATTTAACTATAAGATACATGTAAGAATTAGTTTCCAAAAGCTGTAGCATATTAACATAACTTATTCGTTATTCTAATTTCTACACGCTATACGTATATTTTATTTTTAGTATTTTAGAACAAAACATAATATAAAACTCTATAAAACTTTATACCTTAAATAAATAATATTTATCGTAAAATACATGATTTTTAATAAACATTCTATATATTTAAGTCATTCAATGCTTGGCTGTCTTTCCTCATTAATTAGAATTGGAGCACGAAAATAGGCAATTTTCTTGTTATTCACATCCACACTATATAAAGACTTGAATTCCGCGTGCTTTGGTGTAGGATTCAAGACACCATGAGGGCATTTTCTTCTTTCTGAGCATTTATCCATAATTAAGTTAACAAAAATAGGATTCTGCAAACATGATTGCGTTGAGTGTGTTGACGAAGTAGCAGCAAATTGGTCATTTTCATGTTGTGACGTTAAGTGATTATAGTTTTCAAAAGAGATTTTATATCGTTTTGTTTGATGAATTTTGTTTTTAATAACGGAAGTTACGTTACTTATTTGTGCTTGGCCGAATTCATCATTTTGTTGCCCGATTATTATACTGCAAAGTAATGACTGGAATTATAAATAATCATGATAGTGATAAGAAAATATAATAACTATTAATTACCTGTAATTAATCAAAAAGTGTGTGTTCAAATCATCTAACTGATAAGATAGCTCTCCTTTCAAATGAATATATAATATTATGGTGAGCTCCGAATATCAAGATAGATATTAATTGCAGAATTCACTTACTTTTTTCTAGATCATAGAAAAACGCACAAGCCTTAATAGAACCATTATTAGAAACAAAATGCGATCTCGTAATATACTTAGATTTCGCATGATTTTCCCGCGAGTTTTTGGATCTTGAAACACAAGTAGCCAATAGACTTTCATTTGGACTCAGTTCATGAGGGAAAATGGCCGTTAAACAATGTTTACCATTCATTGTAATTGGTGATTCGACACTTCGAAAATCTGGAACCGTTTTTTGTTCGAGTATGGTCGATGTTCCAAGTACGATCCAGCCTAACTTAATTGAAAATTTTTGGTATTTTGCTATTTTATTCAATGATCCAAGTCGATGTAATAGAATTACAGGCGGATCTTTATCGTTGATATAATGAACTCGAGAAGCAAATATTGTATCTGAGTTGTTATCTTCTTTCATTTCCGTAACAAAAATTTGACAATTCGATAAATCATATTTTATCGGGATTTTGTATATATGTGGATACGGTTTAGAAATATCCATTCTGAAATCCAGTTTCACAACTCGAGAATCAATAATTCGTTTTCCCAAAACTGCTGCTACTTTTTTTCTTCTTTCTTCATCAAGGATATCAAATATTGAATGAATATCAGAATAAGCAGCTACTTCCCACGTTTTATAATCTTCTAAAGACGTAATCCACTCTACGAAATATATATATAGAATAAAGTATAAATTTATCGTTCTAAACTATGTCCGAAACTATTTGACTATTTGAACTAGCCAAAATAAAGATTTATAACATAGTTCACATACCTTCCATTCCTCTATGGTAATTTTTTTCCAAACCACCACGAATTTGAAAATAAGCATATATATTAGTTGCTGTATTCGTCTGATTCGTTTCTTCATGTTTCCCAAATTTAATGGCTCCAGCTATACTTTTTTCCTCGCGTCGTATATTTGATTCTTCTTTTTTAACATATAAAATGCTTCCGCCAATTCCAAGTTTTTTGCACCAAAATTGTCCAAACTTCTCTGTGACTTTTTTGAGGGATTCACGGCAATTTAACTCGAGTGCTTTATCAACTGCCGAAATAAATTCTTTAGTTGGTTTGACTTCTGATTCGGACATTGAAAATATTGCTTTTATCCTTATTGATTTCTGGTACGTATTTAACTTCACGTTAGCACTATGTTTGATGGAATTTGTCTGGTAAAAAGCATCAAATTTCGCAGAAATTGGTATCCTGCAAGTTTATAAATGCAAATGCTTTAAGTAAACAAAATTATCGAAAATTTAAAGTAAACTATATAGCCTTACTGTGGTAAGTTTACATCTAGATTTGCTGTAACGAATAGATTTTTTGTTCGAAAATCATCTGTTTCCGTTTTACATTCTATTACTTCATCTCTAGTAATATGATTTGACAATGTCTTCGGATGTTGCACAATTTCGATTTCAAAAGCTTTTTCCTTTGCAGATCTCGGCCCGTCATCCGTGAAAAATAAACCACATTCAAGTTTATTTTTTTCAATAATCTCTTTCCAATTTGGTTCAAGCTCACCCTTTATTTTCAAATTTTTGGTCAGGTTAATAATATTTTCCAACGAATATTTTTTTTCTTCGTGATACGGAATTGTGGGTGAGCCATCTTTTGGGCATACAAAATAAGTTTTAGGCCCCATCTTAATATCATATCTTTCAGAAAGTGTGTTACGTATTTCTGTAAGATTTGCAGCTTTAGGAAGACTAATGAGGATTGGCGAATCATCATTGACCTGAACAGTAATTTCTTCAGAAGATATGTTTTCCATGTTTTACAAATTGCGAGACATTTCACAAAACTGCGCATCTATTAATCCTGAAGCTATATTAAGCGGCTATCTGTTTCACCAAAAAATTCGATTCAGACAGGACTGGTGACACAATATAAGAAGATCGTAAAATCACCAAAATAGCAACGATAACGATAATAAAATTTTTGCAACGGTCATTTTGATTGTTTTAGCTAAAGATAAAAGATAAACTTTAAACGTTCATGCGTGAAATTAAATGGGAAATTATCCATAATGTCAAGACTTAATGAGAATAAAATTGTTCGCTAGGTACTGTATAACATTAAAATTTTAATAAATTTGGTACAGGAATATCAAAATCAGCATGTGGATGCTTTATACATGTACAGTACCCACAGAAAGTATCGCCCGATGCAAAATTAAAAAAAATTAGATTATTTTTCAATTTATTTGATTTCGTCAATTATACACAAAATAAAAATCATTTAATATTTAATCGGCCCTCCAATACTGCATTAATTCTTCGTGGCGTTGATGCAGTAATCGTTCTAAAATGGCCATATCAAGTTTTTCCCATTCCATCTTCAGTGCAATCTTAAGCTCATCCACAGTCATTGGAAAGTTTTCATTTTTTTGAATATTGTCCTTTAATATCTTTCAAATGTTCTCTATTAGATTCAGGTCTGGGGAATTCGCCGGCCAATTAATAATCACGATTTTATTTTTCCTTGATTTTATCCCGCAGTATGTATCGGTGTTGAAAGATTATGTAACTTCCAGTTAATCCCTAATTGCATTCTGGAATGGAAGTAATTGAATTTTTAAGATTTCGAGGTAAGTATTTGCAGTTATTTTTTCGCCATTTTTTATATTCATCACAAAAAATTAATGGTTCCTTCCACAAAATATCCTTAAACCATTACAGATTTTCATCCATTTTTAAAGGTAGGCGCCAAACAATTAACGTTAAACTTTTCTCCAGGATGCTGCCAAACTCTTGGCTGCCGTGACTGCTTTCCAATTTCCACCCTGGTTTCATCAGAGAAAATTATTTTTGACCAATCATAAGCTGATTTATTTTATTTTCTTCACACCATTTAATATGAGCATATATGTATGTGTTTCCAAGATATAAGGTTTCTTACGTGAGTTAAGTCCGGAGTTTGTGCAATACATTTGCGACGGTTGATAAACTACAAAGGAGCCTATTTCGCGCAGTGATGCATGTCGTTTTTCGCTAGCTTCATGTATAAGTAAATCCTTTTCGTGATTGTTTAAGGCTGGTAATCTTCCTGAATGTGGTAAGTTTTCACTTTTCTGGTTCATTTATATTTGTTTAGAAAGCGGCGTACCGTTGTAGGGTCGCGTCCGAGATTTGAGCTGCATTTGTGATATCCACGTACGTCCCCTTTTCAACCTAACGAAATTATAATGTTGACAAAGTGGCAAAAGATAAAGCGTTTATTATCAAAAAAGGGAGTTAATGCTATTTTTAAAAAATGGTTACACACGTAAATCGCGCGATACTTTCTGTGTGTACTACCATATCAAAATTAATATTTAAAACTAGAATTTATATCCGAATCGTACGAATTCCCACACCCATCTTCCCAAAAATCCAGCACCTTGACAACAAAATTTCACGTTATTGTATTATGTATGATACATTAATATTAGTGTCAGGATGTTACGTTGTCTGGATATTGAATTTTTGGATCGTGAAGTTGGTGTTAAATTATTCGGATGTTAGGTTGTCGGGATGTTGGATTTTTGGGAAGATAGGTTGGATTCTCGGGATGTTGGGTTTTGGGATGTTGAGGTTAGACCCAGAGTTAGGGTTAGTACTATGAGATAGATTAATGTTGGCCGAAAGTACATGACATTTTATGAACCGGTATTACTGAACCATAATTTGGATTCATCCAATAAGGCAAAACAAATCCTACTCTAAAAGTGATAATACGAGAAAACTATGCATAAATCTGTCTTGGACTATATTTGTTTGCGGCAAAGAATTTATTAGCTATTTAACTAAGTTTTGGCCGGTCAAAATTGTTATGGTCAACTAGCAAAATAGCCAATTGTTAATTCTGTATTAATTGAATTTTGATTAATAATAATTTGGGCTATTTGGCCATCAGAAATTAGTAGTGATCCCTAACCGGTTAAAGATTCTTTTACGGTTAACCGTTTCTAAGTATAGAATTCATAATTAAGGATACAAACTTTAATTTAGTTGCACCCACAGAAAGCATCGTCCGATGCAAAATTAAAAAAAAAATTTGATCATTTTTCAATCTATTTGATTTTCGTCAATTTATACACCAAATGAAAATAAAATTTATTTAATATTTAATCAGCCCTCAATACTGCATTAATTCTTCGTGGCATTGATGTTCTAAAATGGCCACATCAAGTTTTCCCACTTGATCTTCAGTGCAATCTTAAGTTCATACACAGTCATCAGAAAGTTCTCATTTTTTTGAATATTATTTAATAATATCTTCTTGATGTTCTCTATTGGATTCAGATTGGGAATTCGCCAGCCAATTAATAATCACAATTTTATTTTCCATTTTTCTCGCAGTATGAATCAGCGTATAACTTCCAGTTAATTTTTTAATTACTGTCTGGAATGGAAGTAATTGAGTTTTTAAGATTTTGAGATAAGTATTTGCGGTTATTTTTTTTAATTCATCATGATCCTTTTAATCCCTGTGAAATATTCCCAAACCATTATAGATTTTTCCACTTTAAAGATAAATATGAAACAATTAATATTAAAATTTCTTCAGTATGCTGTCAACTCTTGGCTGTCATGATTGCTTTGCAATTTTCATGCAGAGAAAATTAATTTCAACAATTATACGCTAATTTATTTTTATTTCTTCACACCAGTTGATACAAGCATATGTATATGTTTCTGAGATATAGAGTTTCTTTACTGATACGTGAGTTAAGTCTAGAATTGTGCAATACATTTGCATTGATTGATAACTACAAGTGAGATCTAAATTATTGACTATTTCTAGTTGTTTAATCTTCCTGTACATGATAAGTTTTCACATTTTCTAGTTCGTTTATATTTTTTATAAAGCAGCGTACCATTGTAGGATTACGTCTAGTATTTTTGCAATTTGATTAATGTTCATGTACATGTATGTCAAAATCTTCCACTTTTCAATTTCGTTAAGATACATATAAGTGAACACCATTTTTTAACCTAACAAATTATAATATTGACGAGGTGACAGCAGATAAACACATGTAAATCGGGTGATATTTTCTGTGATTACTGTACATTTATATTAATACATGTCAAACTAGTCCTTTTTTCGATGCTAAAAACCATATACATATAACAGCAGCTGCTAAATTGGATCATATATGTCTCAATTTTTCTTTTAATTGTTATATATAATATAGTAGCGAAATAAATAATTAAACTAAACGAATAAATAAATAAAAATGTTACATTATTATAATTATAAAAATTATTAAATAAAAAACAAAAAAAGCCAGCAGGTTATACTTTTTATTCTTATTAACCTACTAATAAAAATTTTCACATCAGTTATACTAATGAACAATCAACCATGTCATTGTATATATAATAATAATCAATTTATCGTGAACTGAAAACAAAATGCTATGAATAAAAAGAAAATTATTATAAATGAAACCATTACAAATTAAATATTGTCTTCTTAATTACTCCGTATTCAAGTTATAGATTTTCATATAATAATACAATCAAAAATCTTAATTATATAAAGTATTGAATTCTCATATCAAATTTTGGCTAATCTTGATGAAATCATAAAGAAATGAGTTTTAAAACTGGTTTATAAACTGGATTTTACTATTTATATATTGCTTATTGAATAACTAATAGTTTTGAACTTTAATAAGTCTAACTTATAATTGAAGAAAGTCATATAATTATACTGATACAAATATAGTTGCAAAATTACAATATATATACTTAATTCTTGCCATATTAATCTATAAGAATGGATTATTACTGGTGTAAATAATAAGAATATAAAGGTATTAAATTATTTTGAAATTTATAATTATTAATCTTTTTTATTATATTATTCATTTAATAGTATTTGATGGATTATGAATTAATATCAGTCAAGTATTATTAAAAAGAATAAGCATTTAATCTTTTTCTTGTTATTATAAAAAATACTGATGTTATTTTTTTAAACTTAACAAATTTTCAACTTAATTAAGAGACTTGTTCTGAGTTAAGATATTTATACAAGATAAAACTCTATATAAAAGTTCTTGAAAGACTTCTTATTTTAAAATCTGAAATTTGAATTATGTATAAAGTAACATAAATAGATAACAATAATACTAAAATATGTATAGAGAAAATAACTTTGTCGCATTATTTATGGCAAGAAATGAATGAGATAATATTAAGAAATTGATATTTGTTTTTATCTACTTCTACAAACTACAATTTTTTGATTGATCAAATTATTAATTCTTTATTCACAATTGAGCATCATTTTCAATATACGTGACATAATACTTAACAATTAATTATTAGTTTATTATTCAAATTTGTAATACTATTGAACTTTAATGGATTCACAATTTAAATCACTTGTCTTTATTCATCTTTACAAAAGAGCATGCGTTACTTTGTGAACAAGCACTTAAATGCGTTGCAGTTTTTTATTTAATTTCCTCGTTGGAATAATAAAATAAGGAACGAGATTCAATTACTAAAGTATATTATAAAGTTATACAATGAGCTTTTGAAAAAAATAAGCATGCCATTAAAGAAATCGAATTCTACTGATTTTAAGAAGTTTTGATATAAATGCATATAAACAGATGTATATAACAAACAAAATTTATTAGAAACATATTTTCTAAAAAACTCACACTAGTAAAAACAGTCCTTGAGATTTGAATTATTCATTGGGAGTCGAGTTAGCTTAGGTAAGTGCCAGTTTTATTTGAATGAACTAAGATTCCTTTGGCATCAAAAAAATGCTTTCTAGTCACCGAGACATTTATTAAGTTGAATATCATGCTTTTTTGCGTTGCATTAAAAATGACGTGTACACCTCATGTAAAATGGCAATATTTACGTGTACTTGCAGACGCTAAAACGTGTGTTTTATACTGTATATTTCCTTTTAAAAATAACTACATGTAACTGCATATCACACAAATGCAGAATAGTATTGCGCGACAGTCATCGTTATCCGTTACAAGAAAAAAGGAAATCTAAGGTAGACGATTAGGAGGATTTGAAAGACCATCATCATATTGAAATTCAGGAGTCACGATATTTTACATTTAACGTTGAATATTACTCCTGAAATGAATCCGCATGCCAAAAATTCCAATATGAATGAAAGATTACGAGCAAAACATAATTTTCATTGTTATTTAGAGATAAATTATTACAACGCCCTATTATAAAAGTATACATGTATTTTGAATATGAATAAAGAAAAAACTTTGAAATGAGCATCTTTAAAGCGGGTGTATTGGAAGAAGAAAATTTTTAGGTATAAAGCTAAATTAATAAAATTTTTCTAAACATTCTCCTAACTGGTTCCAATAATCAATTTTTGAATGATTTTTAAGATCCAATATACACCATCGAATTCTAATAATGTCATCCTCATCCTCATCCTCATCACCTAACGGCATAGCATCTTCACTCTCATCATCGATCAACATTGCGTCCTCATCTTCCTCCTCCTCTTTAATTAATTCAACTTTTACTTTAATAGGTCCAGCTTCTTGCCATTCTACAATACTTGTTTTGAAAAATAAGGAAGTTGGAATCGGAACGTATTCAATATCGAATGAGACAATATTTCTTGAAATAAGTGATTTTTCCACATCAATGTTAACAATTTCAGGAAAATTTTTAAATTTTATTTCTTCTACTCCCAAATTAACTGATATATCACGAGTTTTTGGATCAGAATACCCAATTTTCCTCGGGCAACCGATTAATATCCACCGAAGCGCATAAGGTGTTCTTGTATTTATTCATTAGAAAAGATGATGATTTTTTAATATTCGAAAATTAGGATTAGAAAATCATCAAAAATATTGCCTTCTACCTGTCAAAAGTTGATTTATCATGCCAGCTCACTGAAAATCCATTTTCGGTTTTCATGCTAAATTTTACATAGATATCTTCTATCCTTTCGCCATTGTTGGACAAAACACTACCAAATAATTGATAGTTATCACTTTTCAATTGACTGCCGAATTCAATTCGTTGATATCCGGAGCTATAATCCAAAAATTCTTTCATGCCGGACATTAAGACAAGATTCTCCTCTATAAAAAGATTTTTTATTTCGCGTTTTTGATTCTCGTGGAGAATTTGGTATAGCGGCATAACGACGCGTTTTACGATATACCACTCAGATTCTTGATTCGACACTCTATCGAGCCATTCAGAAATTTGGCTAATTACATGAAATGTATCGTTAGCATATATTTACAGAAGTATAAAAATTCAAATACAATACCTTCGATTGACCGGATGATGATCCATTGCTATCATATAAGAGGAATCAAATGGTTGAATCGATTCTTCCCATTTTTTTAAGAGAGACTCTTTTGACGAATTGAGTTAATTTTCATTTAAAATAGATTTTATAATGTTTATAAGAAATGAAAAAAATACCTATTTCAATAAAGTCATCAAATTCGATTGAACGATCTAAGCATCCACTTTGTTCTTTCGAGACAATCCGCTGCAATTTATTTCCAAATATTAATTTTGTATGAACAAAATTCCCAAAATTTTCAAATATAAGTTTTAATTCCTCAATTGGCATATTCGATTCTAAAGCTTTTTGAATTTCTAAAAATAAATTTTCAGTTGGCTTTAAATTTTGCAAATCAAATTCTATCGATAGTTGTTCGTTTAAGATTTCAAAATAAATATTGTTCGTCTTTAAATCACTAATTAGTTCGTGACTATCAAATAATTCCTGGGAATCTTGAACCATTATTATGCCCTGTGATAGCGGGAATAATTCAGAATCAGTTGTAATACATTTCAATAACGAACTTTTGCCAGAAGTAATTTCGAGTAAAGGTGTAAAATCATATTTGATTGCTGGAAGGGAAGATTGTATAATCTGAAATGCTTGATTTGTTATTCCATGAAAGAATTTGATTTTTTCGTTTCGAAGATTTATCTCATCTAATTTATTATTATAAAGAAAAGTTGAACTTGATGATTCGTAGAATTTACTCAGAATAAATTGTGCTTGAGCGTTATGATTTTCCGCCAACCGTTTAAACCAATTGAAAGCCTCAATTTTATTACCACCATTTTCATTGAAGTGATGTACCGCAAGAATAGATTGTGCTTGAGCGTATCCACCCTCTGCTGATCTTGAATACCATTTGAATGCTTCCTTATAATCTTTTTGAACGCCAATACCATTTCGATAGCAAAAACCAAGATTACATTGTCCTTCAGCATCTCCACCCTCCGCTGATTTCAAATACCATTCAAATGCTTTTTCCTCATCTTTTTTTGTGCCAACCCCATCTCGATAGCAAAAACCAAGATAGCATTGTCCTCCCACATCTCCATTCTCTGCTGATTTCAAATACCATTCAAATGCTCTTTTCTCATTTTTTTCTATGCCTACTCCATTTCGATAGCAAAAACCAAGATTACATTGTCCTCTAGCATCTCCACCCGCCGCTGATTTTAGATACCATTTGAATGCTTCCTTATCATCTTTTTGTACGCCAACACCATTTCGATAACAAAAACCAAGATTACATTGTCCTCCAGTGTCTCCACTCTCTGCTGATTTATAATACCATTCAAATGCTTTTTCTTCATCTTTTTCTGTGCCAACTCCATTTTGATGACAAAAGCCAAGGTTACGTTGTCCTCTAGAATTTCCACCTTTTGCTGACTTTAAATACCATTCAAATGCTTTTTTCTCATCTTTTTCTACACCAATACCATTTTCATAACAAAAACCAAGATTACATTGTCCTCTAGCATTTCCACCCTCTGCTGATTTTGAATACCATTTGAATGCTTCCTTATCATCTCTTTGTACGCCAACACCATTTCGATAGCAAAAACCAAGATTACATTGTCCTCTAACATCGCCACCCTCTGCCAATTTCAAATACCTTCCAAATATTTGATTTTCATTCTTAGTTGTCACTTCGCCGGATTTGTAACGATTTCCATATAAGAGAGAATTAACTGCTTTGGTTGCCATTTGAGAAATGAAACTTTATTTACTATATAGATATATAAAAAAATTAAAATAAAAATATTGATATTTAATTTTTCTAGTCATTAGCAGGATTAACGTACGTTAGCGTTAGTTGTTTTTCTCATACCAATATTCAACTACGAGAAAAAAATTAAAAACAAATGCGACGACGACCCTAGTGAGCAACAGAGATTACTAATTAAGTATATATTATCGGTACATGTAGTACGTATCGATATGGAAATTTGGAATGCATATCATATACATGTACCGAACATGTACATGTATTATACGCAGTCACATTATACGGTAATGTCCATTATATAACGATAATGCTCTATCATATCGATTCACAAAGTTAAATAATTTTTACAAATGAGAAGAATAATTGCATGTATTGTGAGAAAATAAATGAAATTAGATTAAATGAAATTAGATTAAATGAAATATTATTATAATATCTAATATGGGCCGGTGCAAAAAGATTGGTACATAAATATAAAAATTAATAATTGCTTCTAATAAAAATTATTCAAATTTTAATCAATCTTTATAATTTTTTTATATTAAGT